TCCAATCCCATTATAATTGTCTACACTATACAGTCAGTCAAATTGAACAGGCAAGCAGTTTAGTAGTTATTTTTATTATACAACATATACCATAGTTCTCATTAATTTTGCATGGCACTGCATTCAATTTCAACACACAACTCTGTTGTAAACTTTACCTTCATCTTTTCAAAAAAAAACATGAACAAATTATGCCCCATTTTTGGGAGGTAAACTCAATTCAAATCAGGAGAGTTTAGCTTGATGCCTTGATCATGATACAAGATGGATGCAAAACTCGATAAAAGTTGACAGCTTCGCCACGTCTGGCGAGCGATTAAGTGAAGAACAAACAAGACTGGACCAAAATAACTTTAAATTAAAACTTAGTAGTAGAAACACTCTTCAAGTATCGCGTTAAAAACAAAATAGTAAAACTGATACTGTGCTACTTACCGGAGTCAAGAAATGTTCCCTTTTCTGTCGCTATTTCAGCATCCGCAAACCACAGAAGTTGGCAGTTTAATAAATAAAATTTTAAAAAAGTGTTTATGTTAGGAAAATAAATAGTTTTGATATTTTCTATACTAGCAATTGTGGTGGTCAAATCAGGGTGGGCGACAAAAATTTTAATTCATGAGCCCGCGTCTCATGACGTCTTTTGACCACCAAAATCCGCCATGTTCTTGACCACGCGGCCGCGCGCTAATAATTTATAGGAATTTTGTTGACGTTTCCTCTCCAGGTCTTATAGAACTCAATGGTACCGATTCAACTGTCCAAAGTCAGAATTAAGATAGCATTGGTATACCTGAAATTTGATTTTTTTCAATAGTTTGATTCGTGGTCCAATAGGAATCTTCATCCCCTTCAAGGTTTCTTCGTTTAAAATGAGAAAGGCCTCCTCGTCAATCATATTTTCTAAAAAAATGCAATTCGAAAAAACATGCGTTTCAAGAACAAAAAGCTAAAAAACAAAAGAATATAGCTAAAGCTAAGTACTAAATAATATAAACACTGCATTTATTTACCTTCAAAAACATCTTTGAAGCAGGAAAGATTCACTCTTCAAGTTTTTCTTTAATCCAATTGTCCATAAACTTTTTTTGATGCGCCTGAAACTTCGTAGTTGTACTTGTTTGTACAGTTCACACGAGAAAGAGTAAAAAAGGAGGGAAAACTGCAAGCCGCAAGTGACAATCGTTACCTATCGTCAAATACCGAAGGGTGCTCGCTCGTGTCATGTGACTACTGTTCATTGAGCACAGTGTTGCCAGATGGGCGGTTTTCCCGCCCACTTGGGCTGGTTTATAAGCCTGTTTGGGGGAAATTTTGGGAGGTTGCGGGTTGCGGGTTTTTGGGCTGGGAATAACTTTTTGCGCGATTTTTTGGGCTGGAAAAAATTTTGATGATCTAGTTTCCACGTGTGTTTTTGTTTTTGTCGTGGTAAAAAGCAATTGTGCTAATATTGTAGTGACGTACATAACGTGCGTATATTATTCATCTAGATTCATGTATTAGCAATAGAGGAAATAGCCAATCCTACACTTACTCAAACGCGCTACTTAAACTTACGCACTTTACTTTATAATTACGTAAAACTACTCAAATTTCAGGTACATTATCCGCCTTGCAATAACTGCACGTTGTTTAGCCAAATATATAAAAAGCCTGTAAATAAATTGTAAAAGATAGAATACTCACGACTGTTGTAAATAACTTCTTCGCTAGTGAATAAAATAATCACAAAATTTAATAGCGTTCTAGTACATTGAACTCACGTTCGGAGCTCATACGAAAGACTTATATATAACGCTAAATTATAACATGGGAAAGTGGGCAAAATACCATAAAAAGTATTGTAAAGACTGGGAAAAGAAAGAAATCTTGAAAGAATGGATTTTGAGTGTACCAGGAGACGACCAAAAAGCATATTGTATGTATTGCAAAACTCAAATTCGAGCACATCATGGGGATCTAGTTTCTCATGCAAAAACTGAGAAACATAAGCGCAACAAGCAACCTTTTTCCAGTTCAAGAACCTTATTTGAGTTAGGTTGTCAAAGTAAAAATGTAGACAATTCTCTAAAAGTTACAGAGATAAAGATCGCTGCCCACATCGCGTGTTATTCTAGCTTAAACACCGTGGATCATCTTGGCGAGTTATTTAAAGATGTCTCAAGGAAAGATGTTAAACTCCACAGAACAAAGTGTACTGCATTGATTAAATGTGTGTTAGGACCAGCGATGTTAGAACAGCTACTTCAAGAATTGGCCGATATCCCTTATTTACTAATTATAGATGAAAGCACTGACATTGGCAATGAAAAACAACTGTGCATTATGGTTAAGTATTACAGCGCAGCCAAACAACAGATTCTCACAAGCTTCCTTGGACTTTTGTCTATTGAATCAGGAACGGCAGAGGCCATTTTTCAAGCAATAATTGAATTTTTGAGAGCAAAGGAACTTGATATCAAGCAGTGTATAGGCTTGGCCACTGATGGGTGCAACACAATGTGTGGAAGGAACAATTCTGTAATCACAAAATTTCGTGAACTATGCCCTAACATAATACATATAAGATGCATTTGTCATTCTATCCAACTTTGTTCCTCACATGTTCTTAAAGTAATGCCACGGAATGTGGAGTTCATGGTGTCAGAAACGTACAACTGGTTTTCTCATAGCACTTCTAGGCAACGAAAGTATCGCCAGATCTATTCAGCTATCAACGTGGGGGAAGCACCTTTGAAGATTTTAAAGCTCTCCGACACACGTTGGCTATCTATTTCTGCATGTGTTGACCGAATACTCCAACAGTTTGACGAACTGAAACTACACTTTCAGCTTGCCAAAGATGAAGATCGCAACTACACTGCAGAATTACTTTTTCAAATGTATGGTGACAAGGAGAATAAATTATATCTAATTTTTCTGCAGCCTATCCTTAAAGAATTAAACCGAGTAAATAAGCTGTTTCAGTAAGATTCTGCTAACCCGTTGCAACTCCTCACTGATGTTATGAGTTTGTATAAAGCGTTTCTTTTCCGTACTATGAAGCCTGTGACATTTACAACATGGTGCTCCACTCTCACGTACGACATAGAGGATGAGAGAAATCATTTGCCTCTTTCTGCGGTCGACTTTGGTATTTTATTTCAAGTGGCATTGGCGGAATCAAATTTAACTTCTGAAAAGGTTGATGTAATCAAATCTAGATGTCAACAAACTTGGGCTAGTTTTTACTTGTTTTGATGCAAATTTGGGCTATTTCTTGCAAAATATAATTGGGCTATTTTTGGGCTACTTTTAAAGGTAGCTCGGGCGGGTTTGCAGGCTACCCATCTAGCAACACTGATTGAGCATTATCGTCGATTATCGTTCGGTTGATTATTGTCGTTCGTGGTATTACTATGTGTGACTTTGTATTTACCTGCTTGTAATTCGAAGCTTCTGGCTTTTCATATTCTTCCAGAGAAGATTTTGGTATTACAGTTATATTCAAGTCTACAATGCTGTGAAATGGTTGGTGATAATCGATGATGTAAACAATGTCATAATTTGATTTGTGGCGACAGTCAGGCGATAATTTTCTCGTCAACTGAATTTCGTGGACCAAATGGCATTCTTTGAATAAGCTATGCTGCTTTTTGTCAGTACAAACAGTTTGAAGATAATAATGGACGGTGTTATAATCAGTTATAATCATGGAAATTTTTTATTATATGAGTTGAAAGTATATTTCATTCAGAAGGTTGTTTTCCTAAATTTCAATGTTTGTTGTTAACTGTTCTACTAGCTTCACTGATCTTTATAATGATCAGGTTCTAATGCCCGGTGAAGCTAGTTTCAGGCCAAGTACCTCACAGGTCTCGAATACAAGGGTGGCAGAGGATTGATAATAACTAGTAAGATGGAACAAATATTTATAAATACCTGTTTTACTCTGTTAGTTTCGATTGAAATCAATTGCCATTAGACATTACATAACAAAATTATATGAATTTTGGCATCCCAGTTATCAATCCTCCATTGCCCTTACTGGAACACAGTTTATACTTTATCAAGCATGTAGTGTGACTCTATCATTCAGCTCTTTCTGTGTGACTTGTCTACAAAGAAAGTAAATTATTAAAGTTGTTGTGCATTTCAAAACTCATATAAATTGTCATGAATATTTATAGCTCTGAGAGAAAGTGTTGTGCTTTTGGAGATTGTACCTAGTATTACGACAAAGACTACTTACCATGAAGACAGTGTATTTTAGAATTGAGATGAAATTATATTTTGTGAAACTATATTTAATATAATATTGTGTTTTATAGTCAAGTGTCTGTCTATTTAACTGTTCTTCTCTTAGCTTCTCAGACCTCTATCAAGACTAGGCTCTTATGGGTAATGTTAGTTTGAGGACAATTCTCTTAGGTCTGCCATCACAGTTTATAAAGGCTGAAGCATAGACTCGAAACGATTATTTAGCTCTTGCTGCATGACAAGTCTCCCAAAATTGTCAATTTTTCAGAGGGTAAATCATTCCAAAATTATTGATTAGATTTCCATGAGTAAATTTATAACTGTAAGGTACAAAATGGAGTGGTTGAGGAGATTGCAACTGCTATTTGGTGCAATAACTTAAAGTGGTACTATGACGAAAATTTTGCCTCTCGTTTTTTTTCATAGATTAATAGTGCATGTAAAAAATCTCTTCTGGCGAAATTTTAGCGCAATGTATTTCATGCTGCTCGAGTTACGTAGCGATAAAACTTGAACTTTAAGAGCCGCCATTAAAATGCGCCATATTTGAATTTTCAAGAAGGAAGGTGCTTGTGACGTCATAGTCTTAACTCGCGGCTGTTTACAATATAACACTATATACAAATAGAGATATAAAACGTTGTATAACTCAATTTTTTTAACATGCCTTCAACACGCTGTGTCGTGCAAGATTGCAGTAATAGGTCTGATAGAAGTACAGGCATTTCATTACATAAAAGCCCAAACGACGAGTCTGAGAAGAATTTGGGTTAAATTTGTTCAGACGAAGCGCGCAAACTTTAATCCGAGTTCGCGCGAATTTCGATTTATGATTTGTTCGAATCACTTCTCGGATGATTGTTTTGAGCGTTTATTCCATTTTGGTGGTATGACTAGACGGCACAAACCTGGTGCCGTACCTACTATTTGGAAGAAATCACAAACACCAACAACGTCAAAAGAGCGGCGTCAGGTTAGCACGAGTTGCAACTATTATATACTTACACATATTGCAGATGATAAATTTTCACAATTTGAGAGAACCAATAATAACTCCAGGCAAACTTTCAATATATAATATACATTTATACTAAGGTTTTAAAGGAAATACAAAATGAAGTGTCTGTATCATGCGATGACCTTTGGTCTTTAAACCTAACGAAGCTGCTTGAAGAGCAAATTCGTTCAGGCAAACTTCGTTAAAGCCAGGGTGATCCAAAATGCATTTCCTTTCATCGATTTCGAACTGATACATTTTACCACGGATTGCTCTATTTCCATGCAGCATCGGCACTCTTGAGGGTTGACAACAAGATCCAACGAACAATGGCCACATTCACACCTTTAATATTGGCCAAATTGTATGTTTCCATAAAGTTATCATAGCTAACGGCAGACGATTCAGATCAAAGTAACACAATAAGAATGACATCTTACCATGAAGTAACATCAAAACGATCTTGCTGCATGTCTTCAACCCGCCGTTCTTCTGCGACTGCAGCTTCGTACTCAGCAATTTCATCGGGCGAAGCAAGCGCTTCAATATTATCGGCAAATGGCAAAATTTCCTAATTAGATTCGTCCGAATTTGCCGTTATAAATTCCGATGAAGAAACCGATGCGTTGGTCTCGATCGAAGACTCAGAGAGTGAGCTAGATCTCGATGAATTTGACATTTTTTTTCTCTACTTATGTATTACTTTGTATACTTTCCAATGTGCGCTTCTAGCCGTGTTAAGACTATGACGTCACATACCTTTACTGAGTGCAAATATTCAAAATGGCCGATTTTAATGGCGGACATGAAAATTAGACATTTCAAATGTTCATAACTTCCTCGTTATATTATTATTTTTGCTTACATTTTACGAAAGCAATAATTGATATGTGTTTAAACTATTGAATGCTAAAATCAATGATTTTTTGACGTTAGGTTTTCGTCATAGAACCACTTTAAAACACTTAGAACAATCATAATTGTTCAGAAATACACTGATTAGAATTACACTGATTATTTTTAAATATTGTAGCTAACAAATGGTTGTTTGCTAACTTTTAAGTTTCAACACCAACAAAGCTGTATCGTTGATGAATGTAGCTACTAATGTTATTAATTCTGATGGAAAAATACTTGTACTTTAGAATTCTCATCACTAGTTTTGATCTAAATCTTTATTACATTAAAATATGACTTTTTCACTAAAACTTTATTGCCTAAGTTCAAAGTGTCGAGCGGTTCTCGTACTTCTCGATCAGCCATTTTTCTTTCCCCATTTCATGAAAGCTTAACCAAGCAGTTGCTCTCAGTCTCAGATGACAGGGTTTTCTTCATTATTTATCTCAGGTGGCCGTCTAACCCCGGAATTCGCACAGGGTTGTTTCGTTTGCTATGATCAAACAATCAAAAGAAGCGTACGTATTCTCAACTAATTATTTAAGATCAATGGTGTTTGTCCAGACTAGTGCTTCGTTTTTATCATTCGGAGGTTGTCATGAGCTGCATGCAATATACTAGTTCTTTTCCCCACTCCTTAAACTAATGACAGCATTTAAATAGCGTTTTCCAACGATTGGCATCTTCTCAAATTTTGTAAATATGTATATCGACACCCGAAAAAGTTTTTTTTATTTTTTTGTTTCTGCAAAAGCATTAATGGCGCAAATTATAAACAAATTTTGACTATTTCGTCCCGAAAATTAGTGAGCCGCCATTTTGATTTTTTCTTTACCTGCATCCTGGTAGTACAGTGAACTGCACTACAGTGTTGAACTAAAAATTAACCCGGATTTTAACCAAAATCTGAGTTAACTTAACATATTTGGCGTTGAAATTCATTCAACCAGGACTTTTTAACCATGATGTTTTTAGAGTGTATAATATTCATACAGAAACTATGAGGCAAAAGGTATTTCCAGTAAAGTTGGAGCAAATGGCTTATAATACTAATTCATTTCTGTGCTGTTTTTAACTCCCCTCACTGCTCACCCACCAATACACTCTTGGATCTGCAGAAAAACTTTTTCTATTTCTCCTTTTAAATTAATATCATCCCATTCTCTTACAAAAGGAAAGCTGTGAATAACAAACCGTCACTTTCCAACAAAACACGAGAAGAATGAGTAGGAACTAAAGTTTGAGTTGGTTCCGGAACCAACACCAGGGCTTTGTGTACTGCTTTGGGTTTCAAGGTTGATTTAGAGGTCGTCGATGTGCGCTTTCGTTTTTTCTTGTTGCCAGAAAGATGCAACTTTGAAGCCCGACTCATTGGCATTTGGGTTGGGTTGATGTTGCCTTATGGCTGAGTGACTTGCTAAGTTTGGAAAACAACTTCGCAGTTTTCCGTTGAAGTCGAGCCGGTCGAGCCGCTGTTTCTGCGGGAGTTGTTTGTCGAACCAAGCATAAATTAGCATAAATTTTTCTAGTTTGGTAAATGTTTTTTAATTTTGGCATATATTTTTTAAGTTTATCAGATATATTTTGAGTTCAGAAGCGATTAATTGGATTCAGAAAATGCAAATTTGAAGTTCAGCACTTTTTCCTGAAAGACAAATTTGTCCGGTTTAGTGCTTCAAAATTGAACACCCTTATTGGTCTGCCCATCAGTCGAGATTATTCCAGATGATCCACTGATCTGGCTATTGACCAATGGAATGGCTGAAAATAGCGTTCTAGAACTCCGTTATTGGTCGAACCAGTCCAGCCACCCAGCTTATCAGTCAGTCAGTTAATTATAATACCAGATACGTTAAAATCTACTGATCCGTATACAAAGGTGGTATTTATATAAGTTTTCAGGTATAAAACAGAATTTTGCCGATGAAATCCAAGCGATTACAGAACGGGAAGTTAATGATCACAAAAAATGGTAAACATTAAATTTGATAAGTAATTTTAGAACTAAAAACATCAGTCGCGTGACTGATTTGACATACTCTAGATTCGCCCCTGACTCTTAAGCCCGCCGCACACTGGTAAACTTGCCGCGCGTACTTGTTATTCGTGACAAGTGTGATCGACAAAATTTCCTAATGTGCGCGGAAGTTTTGAACAACATTTGTCATTCGTGACAGATGAGTCAAATATCAAACGCGTTTGAATTTTGTCGATCACACTTGTCACGAATAACAAGTACGCGCGGCAAGTTTACCAGTGTGCGGCGGGCTTTTGAACTGAGTAATTTTATTTCCGCTTGGTATTTTCGACCACGCTGAATTCTATTCCGAAGAGTTCTAAAATCGTAGTTACAGTTGTTTTGTAATTCGCAGTTTTAATCATCACTCATCAATAATTGATAGCTGCCATCTTTAATTTATTCTATGGATAAACCTCAATCCCTAGAAATTATGACCGTGTAATAATGCATGGCATGTAATATTGACGAGCATACCTAATATACTAAACACAATACTCCCTAATATAAGCTGGAGGAGGACTCATCCAATTAATACTGACCTTTCCATTCTCTTTAATTCTCCAACCATGCTCGGTGAAATTAGAAAGATTAAGAATGGGTTGAATAGCATTTCCCCAAATATAACATAGGTATGCGGTGTGTTTGATATGTTGCAAAAGGGAATCTTCATTTGGTGGCAACATCTCTTCATCATATTTGCCATCGGTAAACAAAATATCCCACAACGTTGACGTCAGAATTGTTTTTATTGCCATAAAGGTAGCATATGGACTGAGATAAATGATGTATTACCTCATCAGATGGTGATATGGTGGTACCAAGGTTTGCAAAGCAGTTTAAACAAATTTCATTGCTACTTTCAGTGAGATAGTCTTTCCCTTGCAGTAAAAAGGAGCTTGTGCAATCGCAACCTTCAATAAAGATTAACACTATAATCAAAATTATACATTTGAAGTTGTTTTGTGAATTATACTCGGAAAAAAGGGTGTGTATAAAAAGCGGGCGCGGATGTAAGACGAACGTCTGTAGGGACGTCTGTTTGTTGTGGGCGGGAATTGCAAATGACTTATCGTAGGAGTTTGACAGTAATTTAAACGAGCTTTATCTTTCAGGATATAATTTTTGACCTCATTATTTAAAGCAATTAAACGTGCATATTTCAATTTTCAGTCAGTCATATAGAGTGTAACGCAATGAAACCTCATTGTATTTTTTTCGTGTTTTGTCAATGGCATTTCACTCATGTTGGCCTTACGTGGGTGGGCCTGTTCATATTTACTGCACTGATAATGATTTCCGTCAACTCATTTGGCAAAGCAGTACACGTATATTGCAGTTTTCAACTTGAACTTCCTTTTGAAAGCTGAGGTTAAAAGCAGTTGCAAGTTAGCCAGTGCATCAGTTACAGCTTGAAAGTATATTTTAATCACATCGATTGTACATCATGTCCAAACGTTTGTACTCGGACATTGTAAAAATTGGTTATGATTCCACTTATTCCAGCGAAGATGAAAATGGATGTCGTGCAAAGGTACCTAAATTTAATATAGGAGTACTGATATTTAGTAAGAAAATACATTAAAAGATTTTTATTTGTGTTTTTTTCATTTTAAAGAACAAACCTTGCAAAAGCAATGTGTCAGACAAACAAAGTCCATCTATGATGCAAGATTTGAGCATTTCCAGCCAAAGCGATGTATGTTCAGTGAGAGCATTTAATAGACTAATTCATTTACTTTTGAAAAAAATATATTTCGAAATTTTATTAGGCAGAGTAATAAAAAGAATTATTAATAATAACACATTATACTAGGACAGCAACAATGCTACCACCGATGAAGACAGAAAGCAGCTAAAGTCAAGCAATCTTTCTTGCAGCCGTAGAAAAAGTCTTCGCTGCCTTAAAAAGGTCCTTCAAGCGATTTCGTTTAACTTCATATGAGCGTTACTTCTGTCATAATACTATACAATCTGTTGTGTAGCATATAATAACTGTTATAGAGCATATAAAGTCAAATAGACGCATATTGACTTTTTAACATGTCATCATAGTGTACGTCTCCTCCTTTGAGGACTCTCGAACAGAGAACTTGAGGGAGAAACGCCGCAGGAGGAAGAACCGGGAAGCTTCAGCAGCCGTACCTGACGTGATCTTTGACTGTAGCCGCTGCGGCCGAACCTGTTTGTCTCGCATCGGACTTGTCAGCCACGAGCGTGCCTGTAGTCGACGTGGACAGCACCCTTCATAAAATCTTCGTTCGCGAAGCCAAGCCAAGAGAGATAGTGTACGTCACCAACATTTGAATCTTGGAATGAAGAAGAATACTGTGTTGGGCTCCTGTTCCTCCACATGGT